GGTCATGACTGCTGATCGGGCATCTGACGTGATGTAATTTTTAAAATTGCGTTTTAACCTCCGGTTACTGATTTTTCTTTCAAAAATACATTCAAAACCCAAATTTTCACCCCTTTTTTCTAAAATTATTTTCAATTTAATCCTTAATAAATTTTACCCATTTTTTCATTAAAATAAAATAAAATAAAATAATAAATAATTATATTTATTAATAATAAAAAAATAATTAAAAGAAAATAGAATTTAATTGGGTGTTACAATATCATTTTAGAGTTTTTTTTTCTTCATATTATTATATTTATGAGTGAAGGGAACATTTAAATTATGATCAAACTTATAATTTTAAGTGTGTATATATATATATATATATACACACATATATATACTTATATGGATTGTTCTTATGGTGGGTGCGGCCACCTCTAGAAAACCCACCATCTAGTAGCCCCACTAATGAAAAAGAAAACCAAAGAATCATTTATGCCATTTTATACTAACTAGTAACTTTTATTTTCTTTTATTTTTTTTCCTTCTAAGATTCTTACAAGTAATTTACTGTTTTATTTTTATTTTTCATCAAAAAATTATTTTTAAATTAATTAAATAAAATGAGTTTTAAAGTTCCCGGGTGACCATTAATTAATTTTAATTCTCTTATTATACATAATAAAATTATACCTTAAAATTTTGTATACTATATAAAAATCTTCAAATAATTGAAATGAATAAATTTTAACGAATTTATTATATTTTTTAATTGATTATAATGCGAGATTATTAGTTATAGAATTATAATTTAATCATTTTATTTCGAATAAATACATAATACAATTTAATAATTATTTATTATTAAAATAGTTATACAATATTTGATGCTTTAGAGATTGATTTGCAACGAAAAAATAATTAAAGATTAAGTAATAATAAGTAATCAAAAATTGAGAAATTTGTTTAATAATAATTATTTATTATAAGAGTAAAAATGAATTAAAATTTTACATGCAATTTATAAAAATTAAAATCTTATTTATCATATTTGGTAAGATGATTAAAATTATGCCCTATTACATATTTATATTTAAATAATTTGGAACTTTAATATTTTTTAAACTCAAACAGAAGAGAGAGATGAAATTACTAATAATTTAATTAAGGTAAAGTTTTATATTAGCTTTTGATTTATAATACATGACAAGAGAACTCCTATTTAATTTTAATAATTAAAAAATAAAAAAAAAGCATTAAAAGAAGTAATAAATAAAATAAAATAAAAAGTGGGTTCTTTTCTTTTAATTTTTATTTATTTTTTGTAATTTTAAAATAAAATATTCTAATTTTATTTTTCTAATGTTGAAAAATCAGACAACAGAATAGAGCAGCCTCTATTATATATAATAAGAGTGAACTTTTACATAAGTTGCAGAGTTACAAACCCCCATACCCTCCAATCACATCTCACCGCCTTTAACCTCTCCTCCTTTTCTTCTTCCTACCCTCTCTCTCTCTCTCTCCCTCTCTCTCTGTATCTTCAATGATTTTAGCAATACTTGATTCGCTCCTTGTAGCTTGGTAGCTTACTTTTCAGCTTAATCTATACATATACACGGGACATAAATGTTGCTGCTGTAGATCTTTGGTTGATCATTTCAGATACTTGTCTTTTTTAATTTCTTTTTTCTTGCTTGCTCGGTCCTCAAGGAGAAAAAGGAAGAAAGAAGAGATTTTTTTTTTTTTTTTCAGGTTATGTCACTGTTTCCTTTCCTCAGACTGCCAGCTATTCTCATCTGTTTTTCCAATTTAGTGTTCCATTTTCAGCCTTTTGGGTTTCTGTTTGTTCTTGGGACTTTCCATTTTAAGCCCTTTTTGGGTTTCAGGTCTCTGCTTCCTGTTCCTTTTCCAAATCGGGTCACTGAAAAAAAGGGTTACAGGTCTTCTGCATGGCTTCTGTTTGTTTCCCGAGAAAATCAATTGGGTGTAGATCTCTATTAGTGTAATTTTTCATTTATTTTAGTTAATTAAATTTGGAAAATTTTCCTTTTTTTTTTTTGGTGGGTCTTCCTAGATTCCTTTAATTATGTCTATGCACATAAATAAAGCTATTCTTATTCCTTTCAAATGCGTCTTGATTTAACATTGATAAATTTTTTCTTTCTTCTGATACCCCATTTATCTTTCTCTCTTGCTCTGTTCTTCCCCTTTTCTCCAACCCCACTTCTGGCTCCCCCAAATCTGAAAAACAAACAAAATCCTCATCTGGGTACCCTTGAATTCTCTCCACTTCATCCCCATGTCCACGTAACTTCCCCGAGAAACTCAAAGTAATGAAGTATGAAATGGAAATTCTTTCACCAACTTCATATCTTTCCAGCTCAAGTTGGCTTCTTGAAGAGAGCAAGAACCCAACAAAATGGACTCCTGAAGAGAACAAGATGTTTGAAAATGCTTTAGCAGTTTACGATAAGGATACTCCAGACCGGTGGCACAAAGTTGCAGCAATGATTCCGGGAAAAACTGTAGGAGATGTGATCAGACAGTACAGAGAACTAGAAGTAGATGTGAGTAATATTGAAGCTGGGTTGATCCCCATTCCAGGTTACAGTACTTCTCCATTCACATTGGAGTGGGTTAATAATGGCTACGATGGGTTTAAGCAGAGTTATGGGGTTAATGGGAAGAGATCTTCATCAGCTAGGCCTTCTGAACAGGAGAGGAAGAAAGGCGTGCCATGGACTGAGGAGGAGCACAAGTAAGTTTCTCAGTTCATACTATACTTTTCTTCTTCAGTATTAATGGTGGGTGTTTGTCTTATATATGTTGTGTAAATATGTTGTACTCAAAAGTATGTTAAAAATTACTGCATCTTACTTGTGTAGTTATGGAGTGTTAGTTATAGATTTTGTTAGATTTTTAAGCTATTAACTTCAGTTATTCTTTGCTTATATATATAATGTATTTTTTATATTTTTTTAAAACATTAATAAACATTCTTTTTAATGTTTTATTTACATATTATTTACATATTACTGCTCTATAAATTTCTTCTATTTGTTTTAAAATAATACTGATATTTGACCTGTTTGAAATATGAATGAACTACATATTCTTTTTAATTATTAGAATTGATTAGCTAAATGAAATAATTTTTCAGTTTTATTGATATTTAGTATTCTTGGTAGAAAAATTTTGAATACACCAACTTGATGTGAGAAAATTTGTTCTTAAGATTAACTTAGAGGGAAAAAGGAAATTCTGAATGCATTATCTCGTCCAATGTGAATGAACAGGTTTTATTAACGAGAAAAATACTTAATCACAGGTCTTACATAACACTATTCATTGAAAGAAGATTTCTTTTATTGATTTTTTATTTTGGGTAGTTGATTTATTGATTTTTTTTTATTTATTTATTTGGGTTGTGGTGATTTTGATCATAAATTGTTCATGATTGTTTGCAGGCTATTTCTGATGGGTTTGAAGAAGTATGGGAAAGGGGATTGGAGAAACATCTCTAGGAATTTTGTGATCACTAGAACACCAACGCAGGTTGCAAGCCATGCTCAAAAATATTTCATAAGGCAACTTTCAGGAGGAAAAGACAAGAGGAGAGCCAGCATTCATGACATAACAACGGTCAATCTCGACGACATGAGAACTCCATCTCCGGAAAATAAGAGACCAGCTACACCAGACCAAGCTGTAGTATTTTCCGGGCAGCCTAATTCCGGTAACAACTTAGCAAGAACACATTTTTCTTGGAGTCAAACAGGCAGCAATGGAGCCAACACTATGAACTACAATTCTTCAATGCAGGCTAATAATAGTAATAACAATAAGATGGTCATACCCTCAAATTCTCCCTATGGAATTCACTCTCATGGGCTTAAAATACATGGCCAGAATCTTCACAGTAGAGGTCCTGCTCATTATGATTCTTACTATGGACCTCAAAATCTGATTTTCCACATGAATTCTGGTCAGCACTATTCCCATTGATGATATAAACATGTCATATATTTTTTTATTTGGAATTCTCAAATTACCCATTACGAAATTATCATGTTGTTGTGTATTTTCTTTTTTCCTTCTTGGGTTTATGTGAATATGTTATCAAGAACTTGAATTTCAAATTCCCTGAGATGAAACTTTCAGAGGGAAGATTCTCAATTGTTCTAAAATTCTATTGAATTATGCGTAAGAAGGCGGTGGAGAGTTTATCCATGAGGACAAGTTTAAGGGCATGTTACCCTACAAAAAAGCTATATAGGATTGTAAGTGGTAAGACCCTAGTTGTTTATTAGTATTAGAATGTATCTATATATATATATATATATATATATATATTGATCACAGGGTGATTTTTATCCAACTACTTTGATACCTTTAGATGGGTACCTCTATGATAAGATTGGTATTAATATGTACCTTCACTAAGTAAACCTATGGAAGAATTCATTTTCATTTGGACATCCAAATACACACACACACACACATATATATATATATATATAAAACGTATTGCATTAGTATGTACCTTCAATAAGTAAAGCTATGGAAGGATTTACGTGGGTATGGAGATGTATTTATATACATGTACATATATATAGAGAGATGTTATTATTTTATGATGCCTTAAAATGATCTTGACTTGCTATAAATTAACATTCGTAGTAATTAATTAGAGTAACATATAGTAACTGAATTACTACATAATGTCAAAAAATTATTACATAAAACTAATATGAAATGTTAAGAAGTTATGATAGA